AGGATGAGTATAATTTTATTTTTGAATGCAACAGGTATAGAGATTTAAGGGAAATGTATAGCAAACGTTATTACTGGAATAGGCCATCTGTTTTTAAATAAATTCAGTTATTGAGAGTTGAAAGTAGTAAGGAATTGTGTTCTCTAGGAAAGTTTATATATGAGGCAACAAAGCTAAGAAACAATACATAATTAACTATTAAGTAATAATAACATAAAATATTAAGTATGAAATACAGGAATATTACATGTCATTCTCTATATATGTATGTTACGCCATGCTATAATTTGTTTACATTGTTTTGTGACTGATAGGCCGTAAGGCCTAAGGTAATAAAAGAATTGAGTTGAGATTGAAAAGGGGTTTCCTTTATATATACATATATATTATCTAAATAATCCTTAATTAGCAACAACTACGCATATTGATTTATCTATTGTTAACTCGTGAGGGATTTCCGTTTCAAGTAAACGGGTCAAGGACAATATATAAGTAGGACAAGTCAGTCACGCCCCTCCCCCTTTTTACAGTCGATTTAATGATCAAAGAATAATAATTTTGTTTACATAAGATACATAATGACAGCTACACGTAAACAACTACAGATGATGACAACAAAAACATTCACGATAAAAAATATGTATTGATGACGCCCAGGAAACATGAAGTTGTGATTTTTTCATAAAAAATAGAAAAAGATATTGAGAAAATCACGTAGATCTATTTGATAATTAATAAATTGTCGCCATGTATGATAAGTTGTTGATGAAATCCTCCTCGGAATGTTTTAAGTGTGAACGAGCCAATAAGTTTTATATATTAAAGTGCAGTGAACCCAGTGCAAAGTAATACTCGGGCATGGGAAACAAAACCGAGAAGAAAAACTACATTCCAATATTAATGACAAACCCACGACTTCTGTGTTAAGATTCGTCTATACCCAATCTCAATAGAAGTGTTGCAGTCTTTAATGATCAACTTAAATACAGAGAGAGTTACAAGTTCACTGACCTGATGAAAATCTTATCTTTATTCATATTCAACTGTTTTACATTAGAATAATATCACAATTTATCTGTATATTGAACAGGAACATGGTTTAGGTTTATGTAAAGTTGACAAGTGTCCGTAGGCATGTCGTACTGTATATAATAGGTAGATGTGGCCTAGATTATGACATTACTCAGAATACATACCGATCTATACAATACACGGAATTCAGGTCCGCACTCGTCTCTATTATTAGCTTGATGTATTCTATATGTTTACGTTTTACGCTTAAATATTCCACTTTTTAAACTTAAATTTCATCGATATAAGATGTAAATGATACATAGGGTTTAAAGTTTGGAATTAAATCAAATTGTGTTCATAAATTGATATTTCTTACTGTCAATTTAATATGGGAAATCAAATAAGAGAGATAACTATGCTTTAAGCAGAGGCCTGTGTTTAAACTTCGTCATTCAGTTGTGTATAGTTTGTAGACTGAGCGATGCAGGGAAATATGTCAAACCGTGGGCAGTACAGAGATTTAAAATAGAAGTCTACCTCACGTCTCACGCATTCGTTGTCAGCTACGCGGTATATTGAAAGGAACGTCTTAAAAGGGCATTGCAAACACGTTGACATTTCATGGAATGCTTACCTAACTTGACTTTGCTATCATAAGTATGGTGATGAATGGTAGGTGAGGGTAACGCAATTATCTCTAGGATCTCGGGCCCCCATTGTAGTTCTCCATAACGTCTGTATCAAGTAAGGTCAAGTTCTCTTCCTGTGTTGCTGTGATTGTGTTATTGGGACAGACGCGTATAACAGGCGACGGACATCCCGCATGATGTTCAGTGATGTAACAAATAGCTATTACAACGAGACTCTAGCTCAAGAACACCCAGGCAGTTCCCGATAAATTCAACAAACATCAGATTACTTCTCTCTCTTCTATTGCAATTTTGTATATGTATGTAAGGCGTGTGTCGTTAATATTTATAGTTCTACTTTCACTTTGAGGCTGGCAGCCAACTAGTCTACCATGTATTTCATTTTCGGAGAGTATTCACACATTGCTGCGTGTTAACAACGGACCTAAAAAAGCGCATTCTCCAATTTTCTTGAAGACTTATTTCAATATGTTAAATTAGTTTTCATTAACGACCAAAAACACACTGCCATGTCATCGTCGTCTTTTTATGATAGGTAGATACAAAATTTAATTAAAATGTTCATCCGATATTTAAGAATAATATCGTAATTATTATAAAGTTATATGTATTTTTTCTGTAATGACTGCATAAAATCCTATAGCAAGTTACAGGACGTTGGCTTTGGTTTTCTTAACATATCTAAAGTTGTGCCGAAAGCAATAATCACAAAAAACTTAACCAGTTACCGGTATCATGTTGAGGAGATATCTGGGATTTCTCTGTATGTAAATATTGCTCCTTTGACAAGATATTAATCACGTGATCAGATATCTGGGATTCCTCTGTATGTAAATTTTACTCAAGTGACAAGATATCAGTAACGAGATTAGATATCTGGGATTCCTCTCTATGTAATTATCAACCCTGTGACAAGATATCAGTCACGTGATTAGATATCTGGGATTCCTCTGTATGTAAATTTTACTCAGGTGACAAGATATCAGTCACGTGATTAGATATCTGGGATTCCTCTCTATGTAATTATCAACCCTGTGACAAGATATCAGTCACGTGATTAGATATCTGGGATTCCTCTGTATTTAAACATTACTCCCGTGATATCAGTCATGTGACATGATTTAAGTCCTGTGCGTGACCACTTATTAATTTCAACAGATTTAGTCATGTGTCCACATATTGGTCACATGAGATGATATCACTCTCTTGACCGTGTATATTAGTCCCAAAGTGTGCGTGATTGTCAGTATTTGCCTCTTGACCAGATATCTTCCCGGTAACAAGATTTCATTCGTGTCATATCCGTCACGTGACAAAGTCTCAGTTCGAGGACCATATAGCAGTCATGTGACCATGCAGATATCATTCATGTGACAAGATATCCGTCTTGTGGTCAGATATCAATCTTTATCGCACGATCTCAGAGAAAATCTCGTAAAATCCCACAAAAAATCTCGAACTCGTAAAGAGACTTGATGCTTAAACAGACGATGTATATGTATAAACACTTCAGTTATCTATTACATAAAACATCTTGATAAAAGTGTATACAGAAGGACTGTTGTATTTAAGCCATGAATTAATGTGTATGCATTATACAATTTAAGAGAAACAGCTGATACGTGCTGGAAATAAAGAAAAAAAAACTACCACAGTAACAGATTGATTACGAAATAGTTCACCTGAAACCATCGTCGTTTCGAATGCATAACGGTTAGGCAAAGGGCTGTACCAAGGACTTTAATCTAGTCCGAGTTTCCTTTAGCTCGTGCGCTAGAAGTTGGACATTTTGGTGGACCGTTGACTGGTTTGTTGATGCGCATATCATCCGCACGTTAAAACAAATACTGGTACGTCAAACGGTTTACTGTCTGCAGGAAACGCGGGCTATAAGCGTCAACTTACATCTTAACTTTATTTCATTCCAAATTATATTGCAATATATATCGGAAACAAATGTTCAATGAAAGTGAGATCCGGAAACACGTGAGGTTGATAAATATCCGTGGTTGGTCAGTATTTAGACCTATTTCATCATACAATGTCTAAACCTGAACCTGCCCGTCGTCACGTTTCTCGTCAGCCATTAGCAAACACAGACAGTAAGATAAGGCCTGTGGAGAATAATACATCACTATCAAAAGATATCTCCAGGTATCATAATAAAAGAATTGTAAATCTTAATGAGTTGGTATTTATCCGAGTCCTATTCACAACCATTTCCTGTTTAGTGAACTTCATTCTACCCTTAAGGGGTAAACAACTACATTGATAATCTCATATAGGTTTACTTTGCATAATATACTTACTTAATATACTAATTTGCATAATATACTTACTTAATATACTAATTTGCATAATATACTTAGTGCTTATTAATTAACTAATTAATATCTTATTTCTTTATTTATTCTTTTATTTATTTGTATGTGATTTGAATTATTTGTCTTCAAATCTTATTTATATATAGTCAATATTGTTGAATTTTAGAACATGCGTCATAAATATCGCACTCCATTTCTTCTTAATTCTAAAACAATATTGACGATTAATTTGAGTCATGAATTTACTTTTCCATGACCTAATATTGTTAAAGAAATAAATGAAAAATGCAAAGACTGTTACATCGTTGTATATTTGTCGGTGTGCTATGAAATAAAATATATTATTTCATATAGTTTAATTATGTCATACTTGTGTATAAAAATTAAAAAATCTTAAACTTTATGTAATGTCTCTGATTATATGTATTTATCAATAATCTGTTCAGTAATGATTTGTCATGTACTTTTAAGATTTACAATTATTGTATTTACAAGTTGCTAACAAGCTGTAAACAGCTTACTCTTCTTGTGTTTTCGCAACATGAGGAAATACATAGTTTATGAAACCAAGACTGTGACGTAGCATAACGTCACAAATACAGATCATATATATGTACACCCTTTATCCTTATATGGGCATGTGAGTAGTATTTCCCAAGGAATCCCCTGTCGTCATAATACTCATTTAAAATTATCCACCAATGAAAAGGCGACACTGCGAGCTTTACTCAAACCTGTGCAATATGTCCGAGGCGTTCCGATAGAGAATTTTCTTGAATGACCAACAACGCACGTCGGATGTAGAAAAGTAGTCCTTCTACGCACATCGTATGTTTCAATGTTTTCAGAGAAAAATAAGCCGTTAAAACATACAGGTGAAAACGAAATACATTATTTATATGAAATATTAATGTGATGTCTTAATTGCATCACCATATTTTGAATTAGTGTTTCGTCGCAAATTACGCGGATTAATTTATCGTAATATAGGCTTGCAATACACGTTGCCAATAAGCACAATGGCGACTTCAGTCAGCGCATACCCTGAAGGATATTGAGGGGAGGGTTGGTACGATTGTGCCCTTCCCAAGGAGCTAAAGAGAGTGTGCTGGATACCGGAAAGTGAAGAAGAACACAAAGAACAAGATTGACCAACATCTGAAGTTGTAAAACACACGAAAACAAGACTTTTCAAAACAACGTAATAGCCGGTAGGTGAACCGCTCGTTGAGTAATCAGTACGAGCTTATACCAATTTCGTCATCTGTTGTAACACGTTGACGGACACATCGCAATAATTGCTCAACTTTAGACACGTTGAGCAAGAGCACACTCTCTAAGGGAAATAGGTTAGAAATATATTGATAAAGGACTATGATTTTGATTTGTGATTTGGAATGACCGCACGCGCTCTAACAGGACTACGTCAACTGCCATACTGTCTGTGATATATTGATGTTTTGTAAATTTAATGTCATTTTATTGAACATTCCGTTTTAACCGGCGTTCATGTCTAGATTTGTGTATCATTTCAACGTGGACAAAGAACCAGCTTTCACTCACACGGCGTTTTAATTCATCCGGTTGGCCACATTACTATTGCTTTGTTCATTGTGAAACGGAAGACCCACCTTTATAGTCTGACTCACCAAAAACAAAGAAGCAATCGTTCATCGGCATTGTTTTCAAGTGAAAGTATCATCGTGTGAAAGGGTACATAGTTTGTATCACTTTAGGAAACACTTGGAGGTACTGTCACATTCATTCGTGAGAGAACGGAGTATTTATGAGCCTAACAGGAAGCCGGCCCAGACTTTGTATACCGAGTCATGGGCCACGAAAGAAAGACACTTTTGATGCTACCTCCAACTTAGGAGTACAAGGGGCCCTTAGTCCAGATCTCCAGCCCTCCCAACCCCTTTTTCCAGACAAATATGAACAATCAAAAGTTTCTAAAATTGGAAAATACTTAATACTGGACCAAATTGAAGGGGACACTTACAAAGCTGTTAATTGGCAAACCAAGGATGAATATGTTTGCAAGGTTGGTATTTATTTAATAGAATGCATATCAATATAGATAAAACTTTCTGTAAGGTTTGTATCACTAAGTGAATAGACGTACCATTATTCATATTAAATGCATCATTTCTAGCCTTGTCATATCCATTTAAAAATGATGAGTTTGTGTATGTGTCATGACCCGAAAGTTAATACACTCACAGATCAATGTATGATACCCTGAGGTTACAGGATGTGTGTTCACAGAATGATCTAATCACTATACCAGTATGCAAGGGTTGAAGAGTTCGTTATCAGTTCTACTGCCAAGAATATTTCTACATCATGACAAGATGATGAGTGTGTAGTTTATAAATAGATTGAAGCGGTTTCCTGCAAAGTATTACATTATATAGTAAAACTTCCTGCAAGGAGCATTGCCATTGCAAACAGATATTCACAATTTCTATGTGTATTGCATATGGCATATAATTTCTAGGCTCTGAGCAATAGTCACTTCATTCTGTTGATAAGTTTTATGTATGCTCAATTGGACAAAGCATGTTTAAATTATTAAACCATGTTCATGAACAAAGGAATTTATCAGATGTTTTTCTAACCCAAAGGAATTAAAACTTTATTACATTAATTTATTTTCAATAATTTGTAACCAACACTGAAGTATTAATTAGGACGAAGTTATAATTATTGTAGATTTTATCTGCATATTCCCCCTCACAAGGAGATGAGTATGTATGCTTCAGGTCTTTGTCTAAGAGTCCATGCCAGGTGCCATGTATTTCCTGGTCTGGCTAATGAAGCTTCGACAAAACAATAGGCATTGTCTCGGCCTTGGTGTATTCTGCCCCCACATGTGTTGCAGTACCTCATGATGATTTGTGTTGCTTCTCTGCACCTACACACACATATATAGATATATATATACATGTATATTACATGCATCTGCGTGATTCACAGACATCCAAGCTGTTGGTTTATGTGGGGACAGGTGTGTGGACCATTGATTACAGGTACACACAGGTATCGGCTGGTTATAGGCCGCTGTGAGTCATCAAACTGACGGTCTCGGACTCCTCATAGGGCTTTGTTCACTTTGGCGGGGTGCAAAGGATTATCATTGTTACTTGGGTCGGGAGGAAATTTATGCTTTAATGCAAAATTCTGAATAAAGAAAATAAATTTTTCTGAATTTATTTTCTCAGTGCGGCTACTACAGTGGATGCTTAAAAAACGACAGTATACAGGACATGTAAAATTATTTCAAAAAGTTCTTTAACACAAAAAAAAATTAAATTATGGCAGGGCTAGATTTATGTACCTTTGTGGAAATGTGTAATTATGGGAAGTAATAAAATTTAACTTCCTGATGGTTATTTAAAGCCCTTGGCAGGTACGACACACGAAAAAAAATAGTATTGATCGGCAATACACAGGCTGTATATCTTACCTACGTGTTGGTTGTCATGTGATCGTATACAATTTTTATCTACCAGGAAGTTTCAGGAACATGTAAATGTAGTCAAGACACAGTGACCTTATTACAGAAACAAGATCCTGTTAGTGAAGTTTAGGTCGGACTTATACAGTATTCTTTGTTTTTATTAAGCGTGCAAGCTTTAACTTGTCTGCTTAATATAGCAGTTGAAAACGGAAATAAAATTCTGATTTGATCCAATTTTATTTAAAGTATCAAAGGGCCATTTTTATTTTCATATATTTAACATGAAAATGAAGAAATAGCAATTGATGAATTTTCTAACAAACTAAAATAATTGATCTTCTTATTGTTTGTTCTTTGGTCTTATATAAAGTACAAAGTCTAGTATGTGTGTTATTTCATTGTCCTGTTTTATGGAACTGGAAGTATTTATGATGATGATGAAGGAAGCCTGCAGAGATGTTTTTCTTTTGTTGTTGAGGAGTGCCTGAATAGCTTATAAAAGGAATGGTTCTTTGTCAGATGGGGCATAGACTGGGAGTGTCTTGATGCTAGAACTGTGTTCTGGGGCTTAGTTAGGCTTGGTGGCAGTATCAGGAGTGCCACTCCGATATTGACCCAATAATGGCAGCAAGGTGAAGTAGTGCTGTCATTCTTACTAAATTCCTCTGAATGGAGGCGAGAGAATTGATTTTTTCTTTCCCGCTACTTCCCCATCAGAATGTTGCTTTCATTGAGAATTTAAGGCTTTTGTGAACATTTCTGTGTCGGAATTTATGTAGTACCAACAAGCAGGATCACTGATGACTTTGTTGAATGGGCATTCCTACAAAAATCAATAGGTTAATATTACAGAAAGGGTTGAGATGTGTTCTAGTTGTACACTAGCTTGTCTGTTAGGAACAAAATTGATTTTGATATTGTGGTCTGCAAGATGTTGAAATATATAAGTTGCATTGTGCTAGTGTTTGGTTTGTGTCATCTGATTGGCACCAGTTGGCTTCAATGTAAATTAGATTGGAATACAGGAATAATGAAGGAAGCCTAGATTTGCTTGAATTGATGTTGATGAGCATTCTCTTTCTTTTCATGACTCATTTCAGACATAAATTTGAATATTACATGTAGAATTTACTTCCTTGGCATATTTACAACCACAGCCAATAATTTTATCAAACATACTTGCTGGACATTTACAGACAGCTATATTTAGACATAATTTTGAGACACAGGACCACAAAATTTCATTTGGTTTGTGCAACAAGTGAGCATGAATGCAATTGATCATTACAGCATTGAGATCAATAATTTTTAAATATGATATTTTTCTGTACTGTGCAGCAGATGTGACTGTCACTGTGTATTAGAATTACAGTGCTAACTTATGGTGTTTGTCATTGCAGATTTTCCCGATCAATCGATACAGAGAAGAGCTGGAAACATATTGGCAGGTTGATTGCCATCCAAACATCAGCAGCATTAGTGAGATAACGCTTGGTGAGACCAAAGCCTATGTGTTTTTTGAGCGCCATTATGGCGATTTGCACTCGTATGTACGTCAGAAGAAACGTCTGAAGGAAGAGGAAGCTAGTCGATTGTTTGAACAGATCTCTGATGCTGTCTATCACTGTCACGAAAATGGAATTGTCCTACGAGACCTGAAACTTCGCAAATTTGTTTTCAAAAACCCAGAAAGGTACATATTAATGTTTAATCAATTAAACTTTTACGAAAAACCACATGAGGAACTGAAAACCAATGGTAAAAAAAATTAATTAGTGTCCTAATTCTGTCAGTTTTCAAATTGCTATCACTTACTGTGTACCTTTATTATAATTATAAAATACCAAACCCAGCGTATGTTGATATGCTAATGTAGGGTTATCACAGATAAACACAAATATCTCCCTTTATACAAAGGATATGGCTGGTATATTATCAGTGTCCTATATAATGTAGTTTTGGGTGTGGTACTGTGTGATTAGTAGGTACTAACAGTGTTGAGCCTGAAGATCTGTTTGACATGCATCTCTGTGTGGTATATTACACATGTGTACATTAAATTTCTCATCCATCAGCTTAGCTACTAAATTGTAACTCTGTATTGTGTTTGTATATGACTCCACCCAGTCTCGGGCAATGAAGTTGTTGCTCCACTGCAAAAATTTAGGTAACTCCACCCAAAAGTTTGTAGTTAATACATAACGCCCAATTCACTTCTCTTATTTATTAAGCTGGGAGCTAAAGTAACCACACCCATCCGGCAGTGAACCTCGACCCTTTGTGCAGGCACAAGCTTGTAGCAGATATATATATGTTACTGGTTGTCTAGCAGTAAAACTTATCTCACTCTCCACATTCACGAGTCAGTTCCTCACAGCTTTAGTATTTTTACGGGAGATTTAAAGGAATTTTAGTGTTTATTTGTATAAAAGGAGCCCAGGCTTTGTGGGACTGACTGGAGTCTATTTTAAGACTTGTTTACCACAGAATGTACCTGTGGCCCAGATATCATGAATCAGTCAGGCGGACAAAAACACTGGCTGCTTGCGTCAGCCAAACACATACCTACGTCACAGGCTATTAGGATATCCCGATGAGATGAAATATACATATAGTAAAATAGTCGATATACAATGAAAAGACAAGGCACTTCATTGCCATTTAGACTCTAATGATTTTTTTATGGGAGACCCAGGTGCAGTGTTATTCTCTGTTTGTCTGTATAGGCCAGCGGGAAGCTGAGAAATTTAAATTGTTAACAGCAAAAATAAATTATAGAGATTTATTTACGCAGACCAAAATGTGGTGGCGTAGTTTGGTCTTTTCAGGTGTTTGTACCAATTTATGTAAACAAAAATGCAACTCTTATTTCCTCATTAAATAGTGTTATTGCATAAATTCTGAATCAAGTCTTTGCTTAGGTATAGTGGGTTTAAGTGGGTTTCGGGAGGCATTAGGAGGAAATAACTTGATCAGAACAGGAAATGACAATGAACATTAGGTCTTGTCCTCGGCACATACATATATGTATTACCTGGGGCGTAGCCTTAATTAGTTGTCTGAACAGGTGAAATGACAAGTGACACGCCACAATACATTCCTAGATTTCAAATAACTTTATAATCCTTTGTTTAAAAATAGAGAAGGAATATGTTGAGTATCAATCTTTGTCGTTGTAAATGGGCGTTAGCGTGACATGGTTTCTAATGCACTAACTCATGTTGGAACTTGTGAAAGTGGTTAGTGATGTCGGGGTGCAGCATGTTAGCTTCATTTACAATTACATATAAAGGTCTTGTTGATCATGCCTTGACACCAGTACAGTGTGGAGTGTAATTACTGTCTGATGGAGAGTGTACTGCTATCCCTGAAGGGGCCACACCCACTTGGGTCTTCAAGCATATAGGTTGTGTAAGCTACTACTTTGGTAATAATAGGAGGGCTGTTTGTAATGATGAACGAGTTGGTTTTGGTAATGACATGACACAAATTTGTGACAAATTAGCATGATTATCACTTCATCATGTCAATTTACTGACAGCAGATTAAATGCACTGATCACTTTTTTGCAATGATATATATTACTTAACAACATTATGACAGATACTGGTTTTTTTATTGTATGTTCTAGTAACCCATTTAAATTAAGAATTATGATGACTTAAATTAAATTCATTTAGACATCATTTATTTAATTTCATGACTAGAATAATGATATTTTTTATGATGTTCATGATAGTTAATTTTCATATTAAAGATTTATCGTAGATTGTTTACAATTTGTGTGACAAATGACCATTAATTTCAACTGCCTTGTGTCTTTCAGAACTCAGTTGCGATTGGATGGTTTAGAGGATGCATGTGTGCTGGAAGATGAAGCAGATGATAGATTGGCAGACAAACATGGTTGTCCGGCATATGTTAGCCCCGAGATCCTACACACAAGCGACACATACTCTGGTCGATCCGCTGATATTTGGAGCCTTGGGGTGATGCTGTACACAATGTTGGTTGGTCGGTATCCATTTCACGACTCTGAGCCTAGCGCTTTATTTGGGAAAATTCGTCGCGGTCAGTTTACTGTACCTCAGATGTTATCATCTAAAGCCAAGTGTCTCATAAAAAGTCTGCTGCGGCGTGAACCAACTGAACGTCTGACTGCAGGCGAGGTATTACAACACCCCTGGGTACAAGGTACCCTACCCATAGGGTTCATGACCATTGTAGATCACAAGAACTTAGACCAGGCAGTCCCAAATGTTATCGTACACGAACCAGAGGAAGATTTCTTTGTATGAGCTGTGACAATTTCTTCGGCGAGTTGCTGCCAATGAAGTTGCATCTAGTTTCTCAAGAAACCTCTAGAAAAATGATCGATTATCTGATACCAACTTTAAAGGAATACTGCAGTGAAATTTGTGACGAGAAATAAATGATGAACTTTTTTTTTTTCAAGAAAAACTGGCAATTAACAGCAACCAGTGTAAAAGTAGATAATAAATTGCCAATTCCAGAAATGACTAGAAAAAGAACTAGAGTATTGATAATGAAACACACATTTTCACTCTGCAATGCTGATAATTGGAACATGCACAGGGTGCGAAGCCAGGAAATTTACTCCTGCAGAAATGATTAGTCTACACCTGTTCATTAGATTATATACGGGTACAAGATGGTGTTGATTGCAGCAATTGAACTGTGAATTGGCAATTTAAAAATCTGCTCGTGGAACTTGTTCTGACGGGGACAGACGATATGTTGCGTGGATACATTTTAATCTAAATAATTGTCATATCATATAAGTTTGTGTGGACACAAGTTGTTATAGGCAGCTGCAATATTGGACAACATCTGTTGTGGTGGGTTCATTCCGAGCATATGGCCAGTCTTTAAACTCGTTCCCCACTGAGGAGAAACAAAAAAAAATTGAAAAAAAACTTTTAATGAAAAAAAAAGTTAAAAAAAAAGAAACCTAGTTCTTTTCTCTCTCTGTTTCCGTGAGATGTGCCAAGCACTATATAAATGTTAGATGTGGTTGAACTGAGTGAAGTAAATGTGTTTACATGTGTGTGCTTGTGAAATGATTGTACAGGGATGGAGATTGTTTTTTATTGCAAATCACTACCATTACATTGTGTGTGTGTGTGACGTTTGATTTCATACAATGTGAATAAGTGTTGTTTAAATGGGTATATTAGTGTTTGAAGTATCTACTAGATTTGAATCTAACTTATTTTCATTCTTCTATCGCGAACGATGCGAACTTTCTACCCTAATCGGGGACTGTTTATTACATAAATATTTTAATTTGAGTAAGTGCTACTCATCAACAAGTATCTTAAGTATATTTATCATGTCTTGTAGTGAATGAATAGGTTTCAAGATTTTTACAAAACATCGATTTTAAATCTGTGAAGAGAACAAGTAGAGATTTGAAATTTATTCTTCTGTGAACCTGACTTGCAAAGTCAGTAAGTAGTGACCTCTATAACTTGCTTGTACTTCATAAAAATGTTGTATGTTAGGAAAAACAATGGGTTATATATTTCGGGAATAAATATTTTTGATATGCGAGTGTTGAGATATGTCACTAGATAGGGCAGATTATTTATTTGAGTAAGGACTACTCGTACCTCGTGTTGTGACTGTTGTGTTAGCTGAAACGTGTCATGATTATCTCCCATATCTTTTGTCATAGCAAAAAAGTATTTAACATCAGTGTGAATGGAAGTTGTATGACTGGAAAAATATAAAGGAAAGAGTATGCCCGTTGTATTTGGATATATATTGTAAGATTGTAAGATATTCTGTCTTTAATTTAAAACATCCGATGGGTTATAACCAGTGAAATGTTTGTTACTTATTTTCCAAGTATTTTACGTTGATAGAAGACACATGACCTTGCTGAACTATAAAAAAAAAATTACACTTGGCAAGTGTTATGGTTTGTTTTCGAAATAAAATTTGAAAAACTTAAATGATTGTTTTTTGATTTGTTGAGGATTTGACGATGGCAACTCTGTTAACCAACAGACATATTTATTGTTGTGATACCTGGCGGACAATGACTACAGTATTTTTATATCGCGTTCTAAGAAACATATTTTAGAGAAATGTTGAAAGCTGAAGTCATGGATACAAGCCTGCAAAAAAGTTATTCTATGGAAACAAACTTAAAAGTAGTGTTTGCAGTGATTTTTAGGACTCAAAAATATCTGAGTCCTTGACTCGTAATTTTCTTGTGGGAAATCACTGAAATTTTCAAAACCACCTTCGTATCTGTACACATCAAAATTGAAATGGCGCTGCAGATTCACTTGAAAAAACCCTACAAAAATCACTGGTTTGTAAATTATGACTAATACCTAGATAAACCTGTCCTTACGGATGTACTCCTCCGACGGTTTGACCTGAAGTAAGACAAAATTCAATAAAAAATGAATTTCAACTTAATATCTTGGACTTTTATAGCCTTTTACGCTTGTTATCTAGTGTTGTACTTTTAAACTTGAAAAGGGCAATTTTTATGACGTTCTGAGGAAATTTTGCTTGTAGACTTCTAATTTTGACAGTGAAGTTAATGGCGTGATTTGGTTAATAGCGTTAACACTTTTAACTTAACACTGACATGTTGTTAATTGACGTCTTTCGAGTATAACTCTGGAAATATTGGATATATTTCAAATAAATTTTGCATGCATTATTATTGGAATTTATTTCTCCGAGCAGTACATCTTTAAAATCAGACTGTTTAAGAAATCAAAACAGTACATATTAATGAAAAATGGCAGAATAGAACAGAGAGACACAGTGAAAACTAATTTTGTCTTTCATGTGCTCAGATGAGAAATTTTGAAGTTCTTTATATTTAATGCCCTAGAATCTGAAGACATCAGTAACTTGCATGTACTAACTGATTTGAATTAAATAAACCTGTTATATATTCCAAGGCCACATGGATCAATTTGCTTGGATACTCAATTGACTTGGTGATAACCAATATATCTTGGAATTTAGCAGTCAGAACTTTGCTGGCACATAGTAATAAAAGGTAGTGAAAAAATTATTTTGACCCATATTCATTGTAAACAGGATCAAAATCCATGATGGACCAGGGCATTGTGGGCTGCTGGTTTGCTCAGTGATGGACTGGGGCTTTATGAAGAAGGAAGTTGAAGGTCACTGGTTTGATCTGTGATAGACAAAGGAAATTGTAGGTAACATATTTAATCTGTCATAGACAAAGGAATTTGTATGTCACAGATTTAATCTGTAATAGACAAAGGAAGTTGCAGGTCACAAATTTAATCTGTAATAGACAAGGAAGTTGTAGGTCACATGGTTCGATCTGTGATGGACAAGGAAGTTGTAGGTCACAGATTTAATCTGTAATAGACAAAGGAAATTGTAGGTCACATGGTTCGATCTGTGATAGACAAGGAAGTTGTCGGTCACAGATTTCATCTGTAATAGACAAAGGAAATTGTAGGTCACATGGTTCGATCTGTGATAGACAAGGAAGTTGTCGGTCACAGATTTCATCTGTAATAGACAAAGGAAGTTGCAGGTCACAGATTTAATCTGTATTAGACAAGGAAGTTGTAGGTCACAGATTTAATCTGTAATAGACAAAGGAAATTGTAGGTCACATGGTTCGATCTGTGATGGACAAGGAAGTTGTAGGTCACAAATTTAATCTGTAATAGACAAGGAAGTTGCATGTCACAGATGCAGGTCACAAATTTAATCTGTAATAGACAAGGAAGTTGTAGGTCACATGGTTCGATCTGTGATGAACAAGGAAGTTGAAGGTCACAAATTTAATCTGTAATAGACAAGGAAATTGTAGGTCACAGATTTAATCTGTAATAGACAAAGGAAATTGTAGGTCACATGGTTCGATCTGTGATAGACAAGGAAGTTGTCGGTCACAGATTTCATCTGTAATAGACAAAGGAAGTTGCAGGTCACAAATTTAATCTGTAATAGACAAGGAAGTTGTAGGTCACATGGTTCGATCTGTGATGGACAAGGAAGTTGTAGGTCACAGATTTAATCTGTAATAGACAAAGGAAATTGTAGGTCACATGGTTCGATCTGTGATGGACAAGGAAGTTGTAGGTCACAGATTTAATCTGTAATAGACAAAGGAAATTGTAGGTCACATGGTTCGATCTGTGATGGACAAGGAAGTTGTAGGTCACAAATTTAATCTGTAATAGACAAGGAAGTTGCATGTCACAGATGCAGGTCACAAATTTAATCTGTAATAGACAAGGAAGTTGTAGGTCACATGGTTCGATCTGTGATGAACAAGGAAGTTGAAGGTCACAAATTTAATCTGTAATAGACAAGGAAATTGTAGGTCACATGGTTCGATCTGTGATGGACAAGGAAGTTGTAGGTCACAAATTTAATCTGTAATATACAAGGAAGTTGCAGGTCACAAATTTAATCTGTAATAGACAAGGAAGTTGTAGGTCACATGGTTCGATCTGTGATGAACAAGGAAGTTGAAGGTCACAAATTTAATCTGTAATAGACAAGGAAGTTGTAGGTCACATGTTTGATCTGTGATAGACAAGGGAGTTGTAGGTCACAGATTTAATCTGTAATATACAAGGAAGTTGCAGGTCACAAATTTAATCTGTAATATACAAGGAAGTTGCAGGTCACAAATTTAATCTGTAATATACAAGGAAGTTGCAGGTCACAAATTTAATCTGTAATAGACAAGGAAGTTGTAGGTCACATGGTTCGATCTGTGATGAACAAGGAAGTTGAAGGTCACAAATTTAATCTGTAATAGACAAGGAAGTTGTAGGTCACATGTTTGATCTGTGATAGACAAGGAAGTTGAAGGTCACATGTTTGATCTGTGATAGACAAAGGAAATTGTAGGTAACATATTTAATCTGTCATAGACAAAGGAATTTGTATGTCACAGATTTAATCTGTAATAGACAAACGAAGTTGCAGGTCACAAATTTAATCTGTAATAGACAAGGAAGTTGTAGGTCACAGATTTAATCTGTAATAGACAAGGAAGTTGCAGGTCACAGATGCAGGTCACAAATTTAATCTGTAATAGACAAGGAAGTTGTAGGTCACATGGTTCGATCTGTGATGAACAAGGAAGTTGAAGGTCACAAATTTAATCTGTGATAGACAAAGGAAGTTGTAGGTCACAGGTTTGATCTGTGACAGACAAGGAAGTTGTATGTTCCATGATGGAATTAGAACTTATGGGTTGCCAATAAAGCTTTTCTGTGCTATTGCGTGTCAGAGTTATTATACAATCATATATCAGTACTGTTAGGGATGGTAGAAGTTATTATATCCCCAGATATCAGTACTGTTATAGATGGTAGAAGTACCCCCAGATACCCCCAGATATCAGTACTGTTAGAGATGGTAGAAGTACCCCCAGATATCAGTACTGTTAGAGATGGTAGAAGTACCCCCAGATATCAGTACTGTTAGAGATGGTAGAAGTACCCCCAGATATCAGTACTGTTAGAGATGGTAGAAGTACCCCCAGATATCAGTACTGTTAGAGATGGTAGAAGTACCCCCAGATATCAGTACTGTTAGAGATGGTAGAAGTACCCCCAGATATCAGTACTGTTATAGATGGTAGAAGTAACCCCCAGATATCAGTACTGTTAGAGATGGTAGAAGTACCCCCAGATATCAGTACTGTTATAGATGGTAGAAGTAACCCCCAGATATCAGTACTGTTGGAGATGGTAGAAGTATCCCCAGATATCAGTACTGTTATAGATGGTAGAAGTACCCCCAGATATCAGTACTGTTAGAGATGGTAGAAGTACCCCCAGATATCAGTACTGTTATAGATGGTAGAAGTACCCCCATATATCAGGGGGATAGGTTGTTTGGAATGATTGATGAATTTTTAATGATATATGCATCATCTATCTTAATGATAATTAATGGTGAAGTTAGTGTCAGGTAATATATTTCTTCAATTACAAAACCCAATTAAAATATTTGAATAATTTCCTGATGCTGACTAAGGGTTCCAAATCCTTGTCATATCATTAAATTTATAAATATATTTGATATTGTGTCTATAGTGTCATTACACAAAGTGTTACACCTCGTTATAAGATGGTAACACAGGTCAAGGTCAAAGGTAATTAATGATCATCTTCTGCGAGTTGAAAAAGAAATATTACTTATAGGGATGGATGTGTGGTATTCATGTCTTACAGCCATTTTCTGGCTATTTTATATTCTAATTACTCGGTGTGCCTGTCTACTTAGAGGGAAATAACAAATATAATTAAAATTGTATTATCACATATATAGGACTGTTCCTCTAACTATTTAACCCCCCCCCCCCCCCCCCCCCGCCCCCTTTTTCTTGCTTAACTTCAGTAGCCCCAACTCCTTCCAACGCAACCTACACACATATCTAATGGACTCTCAACAAACAGTAATCCCGAATTCACTGTAAAATGCTCCCATGGGCCTCATTTTTCGTAAAATCCCCGGCCTACGGATGACATTATATCTAAGTAAGATGAACGTCAGATACTCTCCAGCTGTGTCAGCCAGTTATATAAAATCTTCCATCCACCTTCATGTTATAGATTAAAATCAGGATAAAATTGGAAATCTTTGCCCTGTTGGCTTTTGTATGTATAATCTGGAGGAAATAGGATATGATTTACAAAATCTTGTTGAATAAAATAACCGGTAATTCTTGAGGAAGTGTGACATTTATACAGCACCTGTCACAATAACTATGGTGTGCTAGCGACATAAAATTTGTACAGGTAAAGGTGACTGCAGGTATGAAGGTAATACAGTCTCAGGTAATATATATACAGCGTAGATAGATAAGTACTAAAGTGTAGTATAACGACACAATGTACTGTACGACCTAACGACCTCTGCCAGACCATCCTAGTTACTGACATCAACTGCTTGTGAAATATACGTTCATGTAACA